TTTTACTTGCGAGGAAGTCTCGAGCGAAAGCGCCGTTCCTGAGTTCGGGGGCCTCTCTGGCCAAGGTGTCTCGGGGTAAATTGTGAGGAAGTACCGAGCTGGAGCCGTTGTTGTCGCAGCTGGGCCTCCAAGGGCCCACATTTAAGCTCAAGCCAGCGCTCGAGCGGGAGCCTCGTTTTCAGAGAAAATGTAGCCAGCGTCGAGGCGCGAGCGCGCGGGACCGTTTCAACGACAACCACAACGACAACAACAACAGCAGCAGCAGCCGCAATAGCAACAGCAACAGCAATAGCAGCAACACCAGCAGCAACAACAGCGACAGCAGTAACATAACCGACAGCAAACACAGCAACTGCAGCAACAGCAACAATAATAAACAACAACAACAACAACAACAACAACAACAACAACAACAACAACAACAACAACAACAACAACAATGACTAGCACGTGGGGACACTCCGTTCTCACCAGTGCCAGGGTTTTCACAGGAGGCGGGCAATACCCCCACTTTGTGGGGGGGCCGGTTCAAGCTCTACCAAATTTCCAAACGACTCTTCGCCACCACCCACACCCAGCTTCCCGCCCTATGACGTTCGGACACTTCACTTCGTGGCATGCGGACGACCGTGGCTACTATTCAGGGCCCCGCGGCCGACGACGACGGCGTGCGCGCGCGAAGAAAAAACGAATGTGTCCCGCATGGTATTATTTGACAGGGATGATGGCCCTGGCAGGTGCGCAACCGTTGTCGCAGAAGTTCGAAAAAGTTGCTCGCAAAAGCCCGTTTGACAGAAATGTTTAAAAAGTGTTGGGTTTCCTACGAATCCGCAAGAGCGCGCGGGATGAGATTTTGACATTTTTTTGTTGAAAAACCATTGGTTTTTTGATGTTTTTATGTTAAAATCGCTGCGAACACTAAGGTTTTGGAAGGATTTCGTCTTGCGCGCGCGAATGTCCACTTTACCTTATTTTTTGCAAGGGATTCTTGAAATTTGATTATATTAGAACAAGAAATGTCATTTTCTATTGTTTTTTGCAAGGGAAAGCGGATTACAACAAAACAACCGGATCCTGTACACACCCTCTTTTCTGAGGCTTCCTCACGAAAATGATGAAAATGTAGCTGCGGCCTAGGCGGCGCAGGGGGGGCGCGCACCAGGGGGCCCAACAATAATTATTCTTTAGAATAAATAATGTTCAACAACAACAACAATTACTAGCACGTGGGGACACTCCGTTCTCACCAGTGCCAGGGTTTTCATAGGAGGCGGGCAATACCCCCACTTTGTGGGGGGGCCGGTTCAAGCTCTACCACATTTCCAAACGACTCTTCGCCACCACCCACACCCAGCTTCCCGCCCTATGACGTTCGGACACCTCACTTCGTGGCCTGCGGACGACCTTGGCTACTACACTGGCGCATGGGTACAATGACTTGTTGTGGTAACATTTTCTGTAAGCTAGCTTAGTATACGACTTTTCCCCCTGCAATTGAAGATTTCGGCGTGCGCGCGCGAAGAAAAAACGAATGTGTCCCATATGGTATTATTTGACAGGGATGATGGCCCTGGCAGGCGCGCAACCGTTGTTGCAGAAGTTCGAAGCACGTGAAAAAGTTGCTCGCAAGAGCCCGTTTGACAGAAATGTTGAAAAAGTATTGGGTTTCCTAAGAGATCCGCAAGAGCGCGCGGGATTAATTTTTGAAACTTTTTTTTGAAGAACCATTGGGTTTTTCATGATTTTATGATAAAATCGCTACGAAAACTAAGGTTTTGGAAGGATTTCATCTTGCGCGCGCGAGTGTGCACTTCGTGTCATTTTTTGCAAAAAGGATTCTTGAAGTTTGGTTATGTTAGAACAAGACATGTCATTTTATATTGTTTTTTGACAGGGAAAGCGGGCGTCAACAAAACAACCGGATCCGGACTCCCCTGTTTTGCCTGAGACTTCCTCACGAAAATGATGAAAATGTGGCTGCGACCTAGGCGCGGCGAGGGGGGCGTGCACCAGGGGGCCCAACAATAATTATTCTTTAGAAGTAATAATATTCAACAACAACAGCAATAACAACAACAATCACTTTACCCGAACGCTCAGTGTTCTCACCAGTGCCAGGGTTTTCATGCGACGCCAGCCAATACCCCCACTTTGTGGGGGGGCAGTGCAAGCTCTACCAAATATCCACACGACTCTTCGCCACCACCCACACCCAGCTTCCCGCCCTATGACGTTCGGACACTTCACTTCGTGGCCTGCGGACGACCGTGGCTACTACACTGGCGTGGAGTACACACCCACAGAAGTTGTTAAGCCTACGTTCGTACACCCACAGAAGTTGTTAAGCCTTGTTAACCCACAGAAGTTGTTAAGCCTTCCACAGAACATCTGTTGCATTGGAAACCATTGGTTTTTTTAGGATTCGGACAGCGCGCGCGGGTAGAAATTTTGAAAAGTCGTGCAGGTGTTTTTCGAGGACCTACGGTGCGATTCGTGTGATTTTATGATGCGCGGTGCTAAAATTCTTAAGAAGCCCAATGGTTTTTGGAGATTTCGGCGTGCGCGCGCGAAGAAAAAACGAATGTGTCCCGCATGGTATTATTTGACAGGGATGATGGCCCTGGCAGGTGCGCAACCGTTGTCGCAGAAGTTCGAAAAAGTTGCTCGCAAAAGCCCGTTTGACAGAAATGTTTAAAAAGTGTTGGGTTTCCTACGAATCCGCAAGAGCGCGCGGGATGAGATTTTGACAATCCATTGGTTTTTTGATGTTTTTATGTTAAAATCGCTTAAGGTTTTGGAAGGATTTCGTCTTGCGCGCGCGAATGTCCACTTTACCTTATTTTTTGCAAGGGATTCTTGAAATTTGATTATATTAGAACAAGAAATGTCATTTTCTATTGTTTTTTGCAAGGGAAAGCGGATTACAACAAAACAACCGGATCCTGTACACACCCTCTTTTCTGAGGCTTCCTCACGAAAATGATGAAAATGTAGCTGCGGCCTAGGCGGCGCAGGGGGGGCGCGCACCAGGGGGCCCAACAATAATTATTCTTTAGAATAAATAATGTTTAACAACAACAATGACAACAACAACACCAACAACATCAACAACAACACCAACAACAACAACAGCCGAAACAACAACAACAACGATAACAAAAAGAGCAACCATAAATACAATCACATCCACAGCCATAACAACAACTGCAATAAAAAAACACACAACCAACAACAACACAACGTCATCATCAGCAGTAGCATCATCATGCTCATGATCATCATCAGCATCAGCAGCAACGTCATCATAATCACATTCATCGTTAGTATCACCATCATCCGCGGCATCAGTATCATCACCACCACCATCATCATCGTCACCACCACCACCACCACATCATCATCACCACATCATCATCCGAATCATTAGCATCATCATCAGAATCATCATCGTCGTCGTCCGTCCGTCCGTTTAATATTCGCATGTTCCTCCTCCTCTTGCTCCTTCTCCCTCCTCCTCATCATCAGGATTATCATCAGCATCACCATCATACTCATACGCCTCCTCCTACTCATCCTCCTCCTCCACCGCCTCATTCTCCTCCTGATCCCGAACCCGGTCATGCTGCTGATCGTCTTCTCCTCCGCATCATCATACGGATCCTGCTCCTCCTCCTCAGAATCATCAGCAGCATCATCATCATCATCAGCAGCATGTTCATCATCATCCTCATCTTCATCCTCATCCTGCTCCTCCTCATCCTTTTGCGGAGCCGGATCGGCAGGGATACGGGCCAGAGCAAAAGGGCAAAGGGAGGAAGGAAGAGAAATTGAGAGAGGAGGGGAGGACATAGCATGGAGGAACAGAGAGAACGAGTGTCCAGGGAGGGGAGAGGGAAGAGGAAGGCGCATAACCAGGGAGGGGGGAGGGAGATGAGAAGAGAAGCGAGTAGGGTGAGAGTTAAGGAGGAGAGAAACATATAGAAAGAGGTAGGGGGAGGAGGGGGGAGGGTGAGGGAAGGGGTTGCAGAAGGACAGAGGTGGGGGGGGGGGGAAGGGGGACCAGGATGGGGAATTGGGGAGGAGGGCCGGGGGGGGAGGGGAAGAAAGAAGAGGGCAGTGGAGGGGATCGGCGAAAGGAGGTTGGAGGAGAGGGATCGGGTCGGATCGAATCGGAAACAGCGTGGCAAAGGGAACAGGAAGGAGAGGGTGTTGCTGGTCGTCGTTCAGCACACGTCTGCGTTCGCCAGATGGCACTATACTCAGCACACGTGTGCTCGCTATCTCTGCACGCCGCAACCACGTTCGGCACACATGCCCCCACGAGACCCGGCAGGACGAAACGCTGACACGACTACTGAAACGGGCACGGAATGGAGAGCGCCATAGGACATGCGTACGGGAAGGATGAGGACCGAATCGGAACGGCTGCACGCAAGAGTGACCCCAGGCAAGAGTGAGCTTCGGAGCGAGGCGGTGGGGGGCCGCGGGAGGGGGCGGGGGGGCTGTGGACCCGCACCACCCTGCGGCAAGGTCACTCACGGTCGGCGTTGTAGAGACAGCGTGCAGCAGCGACCTCCGAGAAGCACGCTATCCCCGCGAGGCGATCCCCCCGCGAGGGCCCCTTTGGCGCACGCTAACCCCCTGCGATGACCGCGTCGGTGCACGTCATCCCGCTGCAAGGGCTTCCTCGGCGCACGCTATCCCCAAGATGGTGGTTAGCGTGCAATTAGCGTTAAGTCGGGCATGTCCTCCTGCAGACGGATTTTGGACGACAAATCAAAAAAGTCAAAACATGCTGAAAAAGTATTTAAGCAAATCGTCCAAAAATCGCCCCCCGACGATTTGTCTTACTTTTTTTTGAAAACTCCTGTAGAGGGACTCGCCCGACTTAAGGCCCGAGGCGCCGCGTAGCACGCTGCACTTACAACGAGCAGTGTCACACTTACGCGCAGCCGATCGAATCGGAACAGTAGAGGCCCGTCAGGCAGCGGAAAGCCCGCGACGAACACGTTCGCGAAGATGTCGTCGCGCGGGTCGCCGCTCCGGAAGCGCAGCGCTGCC